AATAACAAGTAATTGGAGAAAGAGTAAGTAGAAACCCTCCAATTCAAAATAGACTAAAAAACTAATATCTAGGAATAAACTTAAACAAAGGCATTAAAGATCTCTACAATGTAAATTCTAAATCTTTGAAGAAAGAGATTGAGGAAGACACCAGGATATGGAAGGACCTCCCATGCTCATGAACTAGAAGAGAATTAATATTGTGAAAATGACCATCCTTTCAAAAGCAATCTATGGATTCAATGCAATCCCAAACAAAATCTACATGACATTCTTCACAGAATTAGGAAAAAATCTTAAAATTCATATGGAATAAGAAAGAATCAGTAAAAGCTAAAGTAATCCTAAGCACAAAGAACAATGCTGGGGGAACTACAACATCAAATCTCAAACTATATTACAGTGCTAAAGTCATAAAACTGCGTGATATTGGCACAAAAGAGGACACATAGATGACTGGAGTAAGATAAAATTTTAAAGTGATTTTAATTTACATTTCTCTAATTACTAATAATGTTGAGCGCTTTTTAAAGCTGTTTTTTATTCTTCTTTATTATTTATTTTGAAAACTCCCTGTTCACATTCATAGCCTGTTTTTAAGTCGGTAATTTTTTCTTGATTCTTTGCTTTTTGAGTTTGTTATATATTCTGAATATTAATCCTCTGTCAGATGTTTGACTGGTGAAGATTTTCTACTGCTCTGTGGGTTATCGCTTTATTTCCTTGGTTTTCATTTTTGTTTGTTTGTTTCATTTTGCCTTGTTTTGCAATACAAAATATTTTTATTTTAATGAAGTTCCACTTGTTTATTTTAATGAAGTCCCCTTGGTTCTTGAGCAACTGATGTCTGATTTAGAAAGTCCTTTCCTGCACCTATATTTTTCAGGGGACTGCCTATGTTTTCTTCTAACACTTTCAGAGTTTCAGATTTCACATTGAGGTTTTTGATCCATTTGGAATTGACTTTTGCTCAGGGTGAAAGATAGGATCTAGTTTCATTCTTCTACAGATGGAGATCCAGCTTTGAAAGCATCATTTGATGAAGATTCTGTTTTTACTCTAATGTGTGTTTTTAGCACCTTTGTCAAATATCATGTGGCTGAAATTGCATGCACACTTGTTCCATTCATCTATGTGTCCTCTTTGTGCCAATACCATGCAGTTTTATGACTTTAGCACTGTAATATAGTTTGAGATTTGATATTGTAGTTCTCCCAGCATTGTTCTTTGTGCTTAGGATTACTTTAGCTTTTACTGATCTTTTCTTATTCCATATGAATTTTAGGACTTTTTCCTAATTCTGTGAAGAATGTCATGTAGATTTTGTTTGGGATTGCACTGAATCCATAGATTGCTTTTGAAAGGATGGTCATTTTCACAATATTAATTCTCTTCTAGTTCATGAGCATGGGAGATCCTTCCATATCCTGGTGTATTCTTCAATCTCTTTCTTCAAAGATTTAGAATTTACATTGTAGAGATCTTTAATGTCTTTGTTTAAGTTTATTCCTAGATATTAATTTTTAGTCTTTTTTGAATTGGAGGGCTTCTACTTACTCTTTCTCCAATTACTTGTTATTGGTATATAGAAATGTTACTAATTTTCATAGACTGATTTTGTAACTTATCACTTTGCTGAAAGTGTTAATCATTTCAAAGAGTTTTTGGTGGAATTCTTGGGATCTGTTACATATCTTGTCATCTGCAAATATAGATAACTTGACCTCTTCTTTTCAGTTAATACTCCTTTAATTTCCTTCTTTTGTCTTATTGCTCTAACAAAAGTTTCAAGCTCTATGTTTTTTTAAAGACTGGAAATAATGGATATCTTTATCTGGTTTCTGATTTTAATGGGGATGTTTCCAGTTTTTCTCCATTTAGGATGATGTTAGCTGTCAATTTGTTGTATATAGGTTTAATTATGTTGAAGTGTGTTTCCTCTAGAACAATCCTTCTGAGATATTTAACAAAAGTGCATGTTGGATTTTGCCAAAGGCCTTTTCTGCATATATGGTGATGACCATTTGACTTTTGTCTTTTAGTTTGTTTATATGATTTGCTTCATTTATTAGCATACATGTATTGAACCATTTCTGCATTTCTGGAATAATGCCTCACTTGATCATGGTAGATGATCTTTTTGATATGTGCCTGTATGCAGTTTGCAAGTATTTTTTTATCTATGGGTCTATAGTTTTTTGTGTGGTTATTTTTGTTTGTTTGTTTTTATTTATTTTTATTTTTTGGTTGTATCTTTTCCTAGTTTTGGTATTAGAGTGATGCTGGCTTCATAGGAGTTTGAGAGTTCTCCCTGTTTCTATCTTTGAATAATTTAAGTAGTATTGGTTGTAGATCTTCTTTGAAGGTTTCATAAAATTTGTGAATTAATTCTTTTGTTTACTCATATTTTTGAAGCTCCTAAGTGTAGTAGCTTGAATGAGAAATGTCCCCATAGGCTCATGTATTTGAACACTTTGTCCCCAGTTAGCAGTGCTACTTGGGAGATCATGGAATCTTCAAGAGGTGGAGCTTTGCTGGAGGAAGTGTGTCACTGGGAATGGGCTTTGAAAGTTCATAGCCTAGCCCAAGCTATAGGTTGAAGATGTGAGCTCTCAGGTTCCTGGTCCTGCGGCCATGCCTGCTGCTTACTGACATGCCTCCCCAACATGAAGGATTCATCCCTCTGGAACTGCAAGCCAAAATAAACACTTTCTCCTATAAGTCTCTTTTAGTCATGGTGCTTTATCCCAGCAACAGAATAATAGCTAACACATTAGCCTATCTTAAGGATGATATATTTAAGGCTTCTAATTTGAAACAAAACATTCAGATATCTTAAGTTTAATATAACATAAGCAGCAAAATGTTGATTGCACTGAGTGATTAAAATGTGTTCTGTTTGACGTAAATTTTAAAAAAGTACTTTACTTATTATTTTTATTTTATATGCATGAGTGTATTGCTTGCATGTGTATAAGTGTACCCGAGTCATGCAAGGCCCATGGAGATCAGAAGAGGATGTTGGATTCCTTTAGAACTGAAGTTATAGACTGTTGTTAGTCTCCATATGAATGTTGGGAAGTAAACCTAGGTCCTCTGCAAGAGCAGCCAGTATTTTTAACCACTGAACCATCTCCCCAGTCCCTGTTTAATATATTTCTAAGAAGTTATTAATGGAATTGTTCTGGGAAGAAGTGATTGATTACCTTTAGTTTCTTAAGTTATGCTGATCATTCAATGATGCATCACTCAGAAGACAGTGTCTGCCAATTCTTTCTCCATACAAAGCTTAATACTCTTCAGCTTGTGTTGAAGCTGATGAGCTCACTGGTCAGTACATAGCATTTCCTCCCACCACTATGTCAGATATTATTCAGAAGGATCAATTGTTCCCAGACTCTGGAAATATTCTCTTGGATTCCATTGCTTCATTAACAATCTTATTGTCTTGTGTCCAAGTCTTCCAATTCATTAACAGAAATCCCACTGTCATGTAATTCACAAGTCACCAACAACATCTTCTGATTAAATCTCAGCCTTACTGGCATTGAGGGGAAGGAGGCCAGGCTTTCCTCTCTCTTCTCTCCCCAGTGTTTTCTCTCTACTGGCTGTCAGCAGCTACCTCCTCCTCATCCAAGATCAAAATTTGTGGAAGTAAAGGTAATAAGAGGCCTGACACTCATCAGTGGAGTGTATGGCAGGTGTCAGGAAGAGTGGCTCCATTTTCCTCTTGTCTTCTCACTCAACAAACCAGCCTGGACAAATGCAGAAGGAGGCATTTCTCAGGGAATAGTGAATAATATATGTTTTTTAAAGTTGCCTCATTTTTCTTTTAGCTTTGACAAGCCTACAACTAAGAATAAGCAAAAACTGAAAGATTTCCAATGAAAGCCTCCTGACCCTAACCCCAAAACAAGGAATTGTGAGTCACTGAGGTGAGAATGTCATGGCAAGCTTGCCTAGTGCAAGTAAATACCAGTGGAAGCAGGACAATTGCCACATTCCTCAACCCTTGCCCTTTGGTGTTGTACAAGGCTTAGCTCCTACTAGTTCTGTCTGCAAGTGGCAGTGATCCATTTCTTGTTGCAGTGCTTAGAGATCAAGCAGAGATCTCATCTTCCCCTGACACACAGCACACTATAGCCTGGCACTCTGAGTCTTCTGCCCAGGTAGTGCCAGCATCAACCATAAATGTCTATCTCTCATTTCTCTCTCAGAAGCAGTGGTCAGTACTCCAATGTCCTTTCTGAGAGAATGCAGAAGGATCAAGCTGTAAGTCCTGGGTGTTGAGGGCACTCATCATTTGCCTCTGTCCAGGACCAAGGAGCTAGACTCACTACAACCTTGGTTCAGGGAGACTGGACATGGCTGAATAAATAGGATGAGACAGTGCTTTGGATGTTAACTCTGATTTTTATTTGTTTTGTTTTTGACAGGGTGTCTCTAGTCCCAGCCCAGTTAGGAAGTCACTAAATGGCCCAGGCTGATCTTCCAGGGATCTGCCCACCATGCCCTGCTGAATCTTCACTCTATCTTCATTTAACATGGACATAGTGAAGAGCCAAGCCTGCGTTTCACACCTCTTTTGCACTGTGGAATGGAATGAACTGGTGGGAATACAAAGTAGCTGACATTGTGATTCCTTCTGTCTTCCTCTTGTTCTTATCAGAGCCCCGCAGAAAATAACTTTCCAACCCAGCCCTGCGCAGATGAAGTAAATCGGATCATCCTACCTGCCTTCTGTCTCAAGGGAATTTGAATTTGTACCTTAACTCAGTCGGTGAGACGTGAGTAGGTAACCTAATTTAAAGGCCAGCATGGGGCTGCCAAAGTGGCTCAGTGGATAAGGATACCTGTCACCAAGCCTGGTGACACCTGCGTTCAGTACCCAGATCCTAAATGTTGGAAACAGTAAACAGATTCTCTGAAAGGTTTCCTTTGACCTCCACCCACACATTGTGGAACAGCTTGCTCACACAGAAACACACACACACACACACACACACACACACACACACACACACACAAATAAACCAATACATAAACTTAAAAACAAAATTTAAAAAGTGTCATCATGGATGAGAAAAGTCTAACTTCCATAGTTCCTATGTGAAAAGAAACAGTGCTTGAGAGGTGGTAAGAAGAATGAGCAAGAAACTGAATCCTGAATGACCCAACACAGACCCCAAATAAAATATTTAAACAGGATCCTGAGACATGTGACACTACATCCAAAATGGCAGTGATAAAATTAAAAACTGGTAACGAAAGAGTCCAAGCAAATCAGTTATGCGAATGATCACACAAGGATTTTGAAACAACCAACATGAAAGTTTCAGTCAGCACTCATCAGTTCTGAGATAATTTTTTAATTAAAAATCTAAGCAGAAATAACATAGGGTAGAAGGAAGAGCTGGGCCTGGTAGAACAGAGCTGTAGCCCTGCTACCTGGGAGGTGAAGGGCATCTATAAACTCTTGCAATGGATATCATAATTAAAGAGGGCCAATTAAGTCATCTCATTCTAATATGAAAGTGCAGGACATCTACTGAGCTATTCAGCTTGCTGTGCCTATAACAAACTCCTGAGATAAAGTAGTTGTAAGGAGGAAAGGATTATTTTTGCTCATGGTTTAGAGGTCTCAGTGTGTGGATTCTTGGCCCTATTGCTCTAGACCTGTGTTGGCACAGATCGTCAGGAGGGTCACAGGACTCCTGACTTTCTTACCTGTGGGAGCTGAAAAGCAAGGAAAAACAAAAGAGCAACAGACCAGCATGCTAACATTGACAAATCACCTTCAGGTGCCCTAACTTCCTTTCATTGGACCCTAAAGATTGCACTACCTCTGAAGTGGCAGGGACCAAACCTATAACACATAGACCTCTTTGAAGGCCTATGGTCTCATTCTACTTCTCATTTTGCTCCTTGCTTCCTGGACCCGCTTGAAGATGAGACCACTCAGTTTCTGCTCAGGGGCGCCCTGCCATGCCTCCTCAACCTTAACGGACTCTTATCTCTCTAAAACCTTTAAGCCCAACAGACTTTTCCTTCTATAAGTAGCCTTGATCATGGTTTTTCTATCACAGCAACAGAAAAGTAACTAATACAAGATCTAAGTAACATCTACCCTTATGGGCTGATATCCAATGATACTGAGCTGGAAGTTCATATTAACATGGTAATTCTTAACAAATTAGCTAATGTGTTAAAAAAATACCTATCAATGATCAGATTTTTTTGTATTCATAAGTTATTAAGCTACTGTTGAAATTCATGCACAAATGAAAGAGCGCCTAACATGCAACTGTGAAAATGTAGATCCAAGGAAGGCAATTAAGAGGCAAATGAAACCATTTTCTATAGACAACCGGTTTTCAACACGCAGGGCAAAGTCTCACTTTCTCTGCTGCATGGTGTTGGCACCATAGAAAGATCATTTTCCTAAAACTGAATTTGCAAGGACACATACCAAAGGTGAAGTCCAAAATTTAGTTAGGCTAAGTCTCAGAGAAGCCTCATCAATACTTGTGAATGAGAGTTTTTACAAAGTATAATCACTAAAATATTAAGTTGCTAAAATTTTTTGATATTCTAAAATGACTAAAATATATACATAGATTATAAAAGGTTTAAAATTTATTCCTAATTGAAATATTACAGTGTATTTACTTTTTTTGGCCTTTTTGATATTATAGGAAATTTTTAAAAATTATACCCAATCAAATATAAAATGAATTTCATAAGTACACTAAGATCTCCTTGGGTAAAGTCCATTTGTGTCTTGTAAGCACGGCCTATGAGAGTTACTCTTTATTTGTTTGCATTCTTTATATTCCAAGTCATGTATTTCCCTTATTTCTTACCATTGGACACGAACTTATTATGATTTCAAAATGAAAGTTTTCAACTGCATTTTCTGTAAAGTACATTGACGGTGACTGATGTTATTGCAACAATAAGATACTGTAGCACCAATAATAAAATTTCAACCAAGTGGTTGAACCAATAGTAGAGCTGGGACATTATATTCATTTCTCAAACACTGCCTGTGGCAAGCAACATGAATTGTTTTGTGTCATGTTCATAGTTGAATATGTTTTCAGCTGTTTGCTACCTATATCTATGTTACAAAGACGTTTAAGTAGCACAAAAGAAGCAGTTATATAAGGAAAGCAATAAAAATTCCCAAATAGAACAGATCAGTAATTTGAAGGGGTTGAGACACCTAGGACCAAATGCAAATGAGGTTGCTTGAGAGAAGTTTTAGGGTTGCTATTGTTTTAGATCCTCTATTTGGTTTGTCAACATAAAATGATTAATTTACAACACCTCATACAACTGTATGCCAAAGGTGTGAAATTTCTGTCTATAAACCATTTATTTCAAAATATACTTTTAAAAGGTTATAATGCAACAAAAAAACTGAGAAGTAATATCAAAAAATAAACACGAACTAAATCTCAGATAATTAAATTGAGTTCTGCTTAAGATATTGTGTGGAAATGCCATGGAATCAAAAGCATTGTTTGATAGATTATAGCTGTCATAAAAATCAAAGTCCTTAGTTGGGCATGGTGGTACACGCCTTTAATCCCAGAACTTGGGAGGCAGAGGCAGGCAGATATTTGTGAGTTCTAGGCCAGCCTGGTCTAAATACTGAGTTTCAGGACAGCTGGGGCTACAAGAAGAACCTGTCTCAAAAAGACAAAAAAAAATGTGGTCCTTTATCATGAAAATTTTTCCACATTTTCCATGCCACAATTATAATTTGTCTAATAATCCAATCAAGCTGTCAGTATACATTTGTGTCACGTGTATCTGGCATGTGATTATGGGTGTGTAAGAAATGCTTCATAAACAGTCATAAAGGCCTGGAACATTATAAATGACTTAGCAAGTGTTCTGGAATAACAACTACTCTGTATGTCCAGCATAAGTATTTTTCTTCAAAGCTGACTTAAGTCTTGTAGAAATCCATCTAATGTCTTTGAAATTCAGCTGAATGGCTATGAATCTTTCAGCTAAGCTGTTTTCCCTCAGGACAGTCTTCATCTTAGAGAATATGAGAGAGGCCTGTTGCATGAGCTTTCTAGGCAAGGGTGATAGAGTATTACCAGCCTGTCCAGTAGAAATGACTATATAGAAAGAAATACTTGTGTTCCCCTCTTTGGTTTCAGACTATTAAAGGAATGAACCCTAAGAAATTAGAATTTTCCCAGGAATTTCTTGAAGAGTGAGGAATTGGCTGAGTCTCTGGCCCATCCAGATGTCTTATCTTCTGGAGAAAGATTTATGATTTGTCAGAAGACCTTACAGGAGAAACTTGGAGCCAAGACAGTGATTGACAAGGACCTGCATGTCAACGATTGCTTTCTGATCAAACCCTCCCTCCCCTTCAGGATACTGAAGATGAACTTTGGGGAGCAGAGCGTCACTGGATCTCTTTGTCCCTCTATCTAAGGTAGTCACATTAAATAAATTTCTTTTTCCTGCTTTTCACTATTAATGTGGCTCTTTTAATTGACTTTTTGAGGACAGGTGCTTGAACCTGGCTTGTTGAGGTAGAAGTTATGACTCCTAAGTCCAGTGATAGTAGTCTTCATGTGGATGCTGCTTCATGTGGATGCTCTAACCCTATCAGAAGCATAATCAGGAAAGACTGGAATGTATGCAGCAGGTATTGCCCTGACTGCTGACCATCTCCAGCAGAGAAATATTTAAGTACTAGAGTTCCATAAGTCTAACTTTCCTTATGTCAGAAATACTCCAGTGCAACTTTGACCAAGATAAAACTCATTAGATGATTAACCTTCTTACACATTTTGAAATTTTCTTTTAAAACAATAAATGAGCCTTTTATGCCTCAAATTTCTATATGCATTGTAAGTTGACACAAAGCCAAGTTTTGTCTTTAAAGCAATTTTGGATATGCTAATGTAGGAATAAATATGCTCATTATAATGAATTTGAAATATGTAATGAATGGAAAAAAATCTTAAATACTTGTGTTTGTAAGCATATATTATTATTAAATACAGTTTTAATAAGACAGCATATGATAAAGTTTAAAATCTGTTAAACTCTATTTATTCTCATTAGCCTTATATAGTGACAGAATTACTTAATCTCTCTATATTTTACTTTCTGTATCTGTAAAATAGGATTAGGTATAAAAAATCCCCATAGGCAGTCTTTGTAGGTGAAGTCTTGAGTTTCCTGGATGATAATTTTTCTGCCCCCCCATACCTTCAGATGTATATTATTGCAAAGCAGACTAAAATTCAATGAATGTAACATGATGCGTCTACATGGAAAAGGCCTGGTGCTTGACTTTCCACGTGCTACACCTCGACCTTGCTAAGAAGAAAATGCAAGTCATGAGCTGGGCATCTCTACCTTCTGCTTCCCCTGTTTGCAGTATCAGCAAAGAAGAAATTCTTCCACACGATGTCTATACAGGTCACGTAAGGGTGAATCTAATGTGTCCACTTGACATGGCGACTGTGCCTAGGTATTTTGAAAAACATTATTATGGTTATTCTGTGGAGGTGATTTTCAGATGAGATTAACAATTAAAATTGTGTTCAATGAAACATACTTCTTAATGTGGGGGTGACTCATCTAATCACCTGAGGTCCTAAGGCTAACAACCCTGAGTAAGAAGAAATCCGGTCAGTATACCATCTTTGCAATCCTGCCTGGCTCTCCAGCTCTCAGATGCCTCTTACAAATTTTCTATTTGCCAAGCTTCCGTATCAAGTGTACAAGTATACCAATTTCTTAAATCTCTCTCTCTTTCTCTCTCTCTCTCTCTCTCTCTCTCTCTCTCT